CCTCCCGGTCTCCTTCCCGCCGGCAGCTGAACTTACAGCGTAGCCCGCACGCCTCCCAGCGGCCGCTTCCCTACTCCCTACTCTTCCGGCCTCGGGAGGGCGTCAATACCCAGCGCATCGCGCCGCCATCGGCCTCGCGCGTGCGTGTGGCGTAAGGCGTCGGGTGAGGAGGCGGGTCTTCCGGCCCAGATTCAAACCATTTCCTGCAGGAGCCGGAAGACCGTCCCGGACGGCGTTCGGGGCGGCCTGTGTGTGGAAGCGAGCTCCGGGCCGCCGGCCTTCCCGCGCCGGCTAGTCGCCCCATGCCGCGGGCTGCGGCCGCCAGTCCCCGCTCTCATTGGCGGTGCTGAGACGCCGGGGCGACAGCGCGCGAAATGTCGTCGGGCCTCCGCGCCGCCGACTTCCCCCGCTGGAAGCGCCACATTTCGGAGGAGCTGAGGCGGCGGGACCGGCTGCAGAGGCAGGCATTTGAAGAGATCATCCTGCAGTGTGAGCGGCGGGCGGGTGCGGGGAGTGGGCGGGCGGGGCCCCGCAAGAGCCGGCGGGAAGCCGAGGCCGAGCCCTGGCGACGCCCGCGCGCCTTGTGGCCGCCCCAACCCTTTTTTGGATCTTATTCTCTTTCACTGTAGACGGTTTCCCTACTAAACTGTGTGTTCTCCAGGGGCAGGCACCGTTCGTGCTTGTGCTTGGAAATCCAGCAGCCGCGCTTTGTGTACGTGAATAGGCTCCGGAAACGGCCCGTTTCGGGCCTCGTGTTATGAAACGGTCACCGACTTTAAGCCTTAACTCGCACAAGTAATGTTGTCCTCTTAGTGTAATGAAATGTTCAGCCTTGGAGTCCTCAGACCTCTTGTCTTTACTCCACCTCGGTGTTCTTTAACTGTTACAGGTTTTGAGTCTTACTGTTCAGGTGGGAAGTTGTGGTCTTTACTATTACTGAAAACTTCAATATGGAAGAGGTGGATTCCTCCTCTCTCCACCCCTGTGCACTTTGAGGACAAAAGTGTTTGTACCCTTAGATGAGTCCTAATGAGCGTTTCTTTGCCCCCTTCCAATTTTACCTAACTGATGACACATTTGGGGGAAGAAATGGGCCCTTTTCAGTCCTATGGTTCCATCTGCCCTTTGGAGAAAAGTCTGGAGTTAATGTCGATGATGAGGTTCAAAGCAATAGAGGTATTGAATTCTGACTGTGCTAAATCAGTGGTTCCCTATCTTATGTGCACGTTGGTATGACGTGGATTTTTTAAGAATTAAAAAGCCCAGACCAATTAAATTGCAGTATTTAGGGTGGGACAGGGGTATGAGTGGTTTTTGGTGCTCCCCAAGTATTTCTAATATGGGGGCTAGTTTGAGTGCTGTGGTAAATGTGTGGTATGTGTTATTTCACTTTATCTTCTTGAAAATTCTATGAGGCAGGTCCTAGTGTTGCCTTAGGAAACCCAGGCTAAGAGAGATTAAGTATTTCTTTGGGGAGGCATGCAGATTCGTGTTGGAGTCTGGATTTGAACACGGATGTGATGGGTCCTAACTTTTGCATTAAAAAAAAAATTTTTTTTTTTTAATGTTTACTTATTTTTGAGAGAGTGAGACAGAGCATGAACGAGGGAGAAACCGAGAGGGAGACACAGAATCTGAAGCAGGCTCCAGGTTCTGGGCTGTTAGCACAGAGCCCGACGCAGGGCTCGAACTCACGAACCATGAGATCATGACCTGAGCGGGTCAGATGCTTAATTAACCAACTGAACTACCCAGGAGCCCCTGCATTTTGTTTTTCTCGCTGGAGCCCCCAAGAAATGACCCTTCCTCGCTTTTGCTGAATCCACCCTCTTAAAAAAGATGGGAAGGAAAGAGAGGTGATGTGCTGTTGTGTGAATTCCTTTTACTCTAAGAGATGTGGCTGCCAGACGCACAGGGAACCCTTCCAACTCAAATGCACGTGGGTTACATAAATTCGGGTGGTCAGGTATTTATTGAATGCTTAATCTTAAAAGCTAACACATACCGAAAGTCACATTGGACTGGAAGTCTGACTCCACACCTTGCTGAACTTTTCACTTACCTTTCTGGGTCTGGTTTGCTGCATCTATAAAATGCAGGTGAAGCTTGCCCTGTCTGCTTCATAAAAACTGTGTGCATGAGTGCTTTGAAAGCCATCTACATAATAGCCCATAAACAGAAGTTGCTTGTAATTGTACTGACAGAGATCGAATGGTTTTTCTGCATTGACAGTGGACATTTCGGTGGGGTGGGGGGGATGTAGGAGGAAAGTCGGAAGGAGACCATCCTGGAGAGGGAACTCATCATTAAATAGCTGTAGTCAGTAGCTCATGCCTGAGGGGCTAGGAGCCCCGACTGAGATGAGAGGTAGTTCGAGGGCTGGAGAGCAAGACAACCTTTGCCTGTTAAGTTTTTCTCTTGGACGTTGGGGAGGTCACTTCCAGTTTGCCTGTGGAACACCTTCCACCCCTTCTTGCCTTCCCAGGCCAGTCAAGTTCAGTTCCTGCCTGAGCCTAAAGAGAAAGATGAAAAGAGACTAGGGACAGGTGGCAGCTCTGCCTCAGCTGGATCCTTCTCTTTTTTTTTTTTTTAATTTTTTTTTTAACATTTATTTTTGAGACAGAGAGAGACAGAGCATGAACGGGGGAGGGTCAGAGAGAAGGAGACACAGAATCTGAAACAGGCTCCAGGCTCTGAGCTGTCAGCCCAGAGCCCGACGTGGGGCTTGAACTCACGGACCGCGAGATCATGACCTGAGCTGAAGTCGGCTGCTCAACCGACTGAGCCACTCAGGTGCCCCTGGATCCTTCTCTTTAGTGCGAAGAACTTTCAAGCAGGATCCCTCTGGAATGCCTCCTGTCCTTTTTAAGACCTGACTATCCCAGGGCACCCAGCTCTGGTGTGACACTTTAAAGACCTTATTAGAGCCCTTTGATGTGAGTGAACACCCAAGGTTGCAATGACATTTCCATGTTCTGTTGAACTGATGGATGAAATTAATCTAGACCAAGAGTATTTCTGTTTCTGTCCAGGAGTTCCATTTTCCACATGTAAAGGAGAAGTGGGGCTCAAGACTCTTTTAGAAGAAAGATAAGCCCTTCCGACAGGAGTACTCACTGGCACGAACCCTATCGAAATTTTGTTCTCGAGCAGTTCTGATCTCACACTTGTAGGATTTGTGACAACCCCCATCAAATGTAGCTATTCTGCAAGTGTCCCATGATCAATCTCTTGTTCTGCTCAGTGCCCCTTCCCCTCTTGCTAGTCCCCGTGGACTGTCATTCCTAACTACTTGTCATTTGAATTCCTGCGCCATGCTTCCTGTCACTTTTGTTACTTTTCAGAAAGAAAACTCAGTTTCTCTCTTGAGTTCTCCACTCGTGTGTTCTTGACACGTTAGCATCTTGCAGCCAGTCGCCTGAGCAAGGAATTTCAGGATAATCTTTGACTTCTTACTAGTAAATCTCCATTCATGTCACTGCCTGCTTTTCAAATCTGTTAATTCACTACTGCCAGTAAGAAAAGTTCTGAATTTTTCATTCTGCTCGTTCATGTGTTGGCTGGCTCCAAGTTTTCATTTCTAGCCACTTACCAGATGACTGCCTGCCCTCCTGCCTGGACTCCACTATCTTCACCCGTAAAACCACCCAGGCAAATGAGGGAAGATCACTCTTCTGTTCCCTTTTATGCTTGACCCTCTGTTATACTTGAGCTCCTTGAGGTCAAGGACTTTTCATAGTTGTATCTCTAGTGCCCAGATCTAAAAATTAAATTTTCCAAATGTAATAATACGGTAAAGCTGTTTCGCATTGCTTAGAGGTGCGTAACGTGTCATTTTTCCATTGTATTTGGTTGTGGTTTTTGTCTCGTTTTATTTTTTTACTCCTATGATTAAAAACAGGTAAATGGGGGACATTCTTGCAGCGAAGTTTCCACGGGTTCCTTTGACTGGGTTGCTCATGCTCAGGCCAAGAAGCATCGAAGGAGCGTATGTTCCTGGGTTTTGAACGGTTGCTACCTTTGCTGTCAAAGTGCAGTACCTAGGACTTTGAGGCCTCTTGAAAATGAAACCTATCTAGTCTTCTGGTTGTTTTTTTGGTCCAGATCTTTATAGGATAATAAATAGTAATAAGGTGTGCACCGTTAAAATTTTTTTTCTTCTCTTTTTTAACAGATAACAAGTTGCTAGAAAAGTCAGATCTTCATTCAGTGCTGGCCCATAAGCTACAAGCTGAAAAGCATGACGTCCCCAACAGGCATGAGATAAGGTATTTTGGAACTATCCTGTATCGCTTGTGTCTCTTCAGCAGAAACGTGTCTGCGTTTAGTTGTCACTGCTCGTTTAGAGGCGAACAGAATACCGCGTCTGTGCTCCAGTTTGTGTCTGCTCCTTTCAAATACGAACTTCTGAAGCCAAGTACCTAAAATCCTTTTCTGAAGGTATATGCCCACCCAGAAGGCTTAGCAGTAGGTGCTGTGAGCTTGAGAAGTTGCTCAAGGCAGGTAACTGTGCCAATTCCTTCTTCAGCCTCGGGGTCCACTTTTTCTGAATAATCACATCAGTAAGCATTCTTGAGCAGATTTACACGAATCTTGTTAATACTGGATTATATCCTGGTGCATAAACATATAAAGTGCTTCGTATATAGTACAGGTCTATTTGATCCTTTTTAGTTCGGTGGATTTCAGCATATTTTAATAGAGTGTGAAATTAAGCTAGCTGGTGGCAACAAGCTTTTTTTTTTTTTTTTTTTTAAGAAAGGTTAGGAGAAACCTGCATTTTAACAGAAAGGGTAAGTTGTTTCATTAAACATGCAAATATGTGTTCACAATGGGAAGTTTGATATGTTTACTTGGGTTATTCATGTAAACTGTATTTCTTTTTGGGGGGTAAGGTCCAAGAAAATCTAATAGCCAGACTTAAGCAAAAGCAGTTTACCATAGAATCATTCTGTAGTGTTATTATTTTTTCCATATTTATCACGTTTGCATATTACATATGAGAGTTTGTATGGGAATAGTTCCCATTATTGCTCTAAAATCTATATACTTTTTTGCCTATCTGTTAACATTTACCAACAAAAACAAGTTGGTAGTAATTCAGCGATTTTTTTTAAAACCCAGAAATGTGAGGTGTGGCTGAATTTATTTATCTCTGTAGCTAAATCTGCTGTATAACCATCTGCCATCCATGTTTCCTCATTTCACAAGATGGTCTCCCAGCACACCAGAGTGGGCAAGAGGAACAGATGGCCCAGCCCAGGGTTTGTCCTTGCTTAATAATAAATTCAAGAGATCCTGCCTGACTGTGGCCGGGGTGGGGGGCGGGCGTGAGCGGAGGGGGGGACTACTGTAGTATTTAAAATATTAGTTGCAGTGTTCTGGTCAATTTTAGGTGTAGAAAATGCCATTTTACCTTTTTCATCTAAATTCAGTCAACTGAAAACTTGTAATACTTTGTTTCTATGTAGTTAGATTCTGGGTGATTATACTTCTTTATTCTTTATTGGTCAGCCAAGCTTATTTGTTTGGAAAGGTGCAATAAACAAATACACAGTAATTCTTTTGACTATCACTGGAGTGGTAATTTAATCGGAGGTCCTTCCTTTCCTACAAACTTGAGCCCCTAATCAGGCCTCTCCTCCTGACCGCCTTGTTTCTATTAATGGTGTTCTTATTTTCCACAAGTCATCTATGATTCCTTTTTCCCTCAGTATCCTGCCCCTCCTTGTTGGTAGTCACCCACTCAGGCATGCTCATTTTTCACTCACAGCCTCTTAATGCATCTGTCCCTTCATCCGGTGGGGAGACTAGCTCAAGGGGTGTTTGACGGTGTCGTAAGGGTGTTTGCAGAAGATGGGCCTGGTTGTTTCCTTCTGCCTTCTGTCTCCTTAAGTTCTGCCTGTCTCATCCTAGTTATTCTTAAAACGCTACTGCCCATGCTTAAAAAGCTTTATCTGGATCAATTATCTGAGTCTCTTCTGAAGCGTTTTAATCCCTTTGCTTTCTGAATAGGTTAACATTAAACTCCTCAGCCCAGAAATCGTTCAGTCCTGTCTTTGTGTGTGTGTATGCTTCCTGGACCGCAGCATCTGGCAGAATTGTTAGAAATGCAGAACCTTGGGCCCCCGACCAGACTTACCGTTTCAGAAACTGGGGGTGCAGGGATGAGGGTGGCAAGGGCCACCATAATCTGTAATTAGGTGGTCCTGAGAACCACCGCTTTAGACCATGGCTGCCCAGGAGTCCTTGTCAGCTAGCTGCATCACCTGAGGGGTAGAATGAGTGGCCCGATGCTAGCGTCCTAGAAGAAGGGACTGGTTTTACGTTTGCATATCGCACGTTGCTTTGCATTAAAATAAGAGGATTTAGTACAAATAATTTCTAGTCTTTCTGCCTAGTTTAGGATGGTTTCTTGTAAAGTGTTCCACTTTCTAATCTCTTGGCTTCGACTTCATGGGCTAAAATTGGGGAAGGATTAAGTTGCCTCAAAGGATGAGGTATTAGGATGTGCTTAGAACATGTGATAGAAATAGCTTTAGACATCAAGGGTAAAGTTAGGAGGGACTGTCATGCTGCTGCTCCCTTTTCCCTCTGGTTTGTTGCAGGGCAGACAGAGGAGGCTGTTCTCCCCCCTCCCTTTGGGTGCTGGTGTCCTACTTTTCCAGCATCTTCCTCTTCTCCATCTAGTGCTTTTCCTGGGTGATGGTTTAAACGTCTGACTATCATCTGATGGTTCTCATCTGTAGCTGCAACGGAGACCCCAGCCCTGAACTGGAAGCCCACAGTTCAGCCATCTGCTGTTTCTGAGAGAGGATGTAAACCCTTGTGAAGTCTCCAAAACCACATTGACCCTGAGAGAATCTGAACTCAGTTCTGTGGTTTCAGATATAATCTGTTTGCTGACTGCTTCTACTTGCTCTCTTTGAGCTTGGACCTCTTTACGTGACGTGCAGACTCTGACACCCGGTTTCCACTCCACACACCAGCTTGGGTGTCCAAACCGCACTCTTCAGGCCTCCCCCGAAGCCTGCTTCCCCTCTAGTCCTAACCATCTCAGTAGGTGGCACCTGTGTTTTACCAGTTGCTCCCAACGCCTTGGAGTCCTCATTGACTGCTGTCTTTCTCGTAGACTCCACAGCCAAGTCCAAGGCAAATCCAAGGACTGTCTTCGGAATGGATCTAGGATCTGACCACCTCTCACTCCCTCCGCTGCTACCACCTCGACGTGAGCTGGACTGTGTAACAGCCTGCTAACTGATCTCCCTATTTCTACCCCTGCCCCCCTGCAGTCAGCAACCATAGCTGTGCTTTTAAAGCATACGTTACTCTTCTGTTCACAGCACGACAGTGGCTTCCAGTCATGCCTAGGAAAAGTCAGGGTCCGAAGAGGGGCCTGGGAGGCACTGCATGATGGCCCCACCTCCTCCCTGACCGTCTTCTCTACCCTCCTGCACGCGGGGCTCCTCTCACACTCTCCCGAGTGCACCAGTTGTGCCACTGCCTCCGAGCCTTTCCAACACTTGACGTTTCTTCTGTGTGTCAGGCTCCAGCCCCTGGGGGCTGCATAGCTTGCTCCTCACTTCTTTCCAGTCTGCAGTCATGTGTTGCCTCCCAGAAGCCTTCGAGTGCCCTATATAGAACAGGACCCCTGTTGCTGTGTTCCCCTCTTTACCCTTAGTTTCTCTTCACATCTGACCATCCGACTTCATGTATTTACTTGTCTGTTGTCTGCTCTTAACTGTTTATCAGTTGCACAAGGGGGCGCCTGGGTGGCTCAGTCAAGCATCCAACTTCGGCTCAGGTCATAATCTCGGGGTTCTTGGGTTCAAGCCCTGCATCGGGCTCAGTGCTGACAGCTCAGAGCCTGGAGCCTGCTTCGGATTCTGTGTCTCCCTCTCTCTCTGCCCCTCCCCTGCTCACGGTCTGTTTCTCTCTCTCAAAAAAATTTTTCACTTGCATGAGAGCAAAGCTTTGTGTTCACTTCCTTCTTCCAGCTCTAAGGTCAGTGCCTGGCATAAATGGACCTTGTCTTCTCCATATTTACCTAAACTTCATCTGGAACCCATGCTTTGTTCCTGACACGACCAGTGTTTGGGTTGTGGCTGGTTTATTTTACCAAGTGTCTCATGTTTCCTGCCTTCTAGAACTCCATTGCTTGGAGGAACTGAACTGCTTTACTGGCTACGTTGTCATGTGCAGGTTTGAAATTCTGAAGTTACTGTTCACTGCCTGATCGGAGAGGTTTGAGGTCTGATTTTTTTTTTCCTTTCCTCTCTTTTTTGCATGTTCTCTTCGTCTTCCTGGTTTGGGGATTTAGTCCTGGCCACGACGGTGCATGGAATGATAGTCAGCTACAAGAAATGGCCCAGCTGAGGATTAAACACCAAGAAGAACTGACTGAATTACACAAGAAACGTGGGGAGGTACCGATAGCCGCTCCCCATCTGTCTTCTGCTCTGTGCGGGCCCTGTGGTGGGGGAACAGGTGGGCAGGCACACTAGAATTAGCAGCCATCCCAGCTGCCTGTGGCATCGGCCTGTCTCTGAGAACGCAGCATCGGGAAAGGTGAGGTCTTCCCCTCCACCAGCAGAAGGGTGAGCCCGTGGGATAACTGCTGGTTGCCACACTCACAGGTGACACGACAGGTATAAGTGGAGAAACCTCGAAGGAAAGAGCTTGCTGCTTGTTCTACCGAAGGTCTAATACCTTCCTAAAGCATTTGAGAGTGAACCCTGCAATTTCAGAAAAGTTCATTAGAAAGAATGAAAAAGTTCTGGGCTGTGTTTATCCTGGGTGGTGGTCTGATGGCAAATTGTAAAAAGAAAAAGTTATCAGTTCAGCTCAGTTGATCATTTTATCAGCTGAAGGGTTGGAAAAGGTGGCCAGCAGGGGTGGGGGTTGCAGACAGGTTTCCTCAGAGGGAACCTGTAGCACTTCTCGTCTGCCCACGGCTGCTGTCGGCAGGCGGGGAGCCCACATCGTTCCCATGAGTGTCCCCATTGACCCCTCTGCTCCTCGCTGCCACCTAGCTCGTTTCTTCTTGGTGCCTGGGCCGAATCCCACGGGCACGTTTTCTAGAGTAACCCACTGTTGTTTAGTTTCCAGCTGAGGTCCTGAAATCTCTCACTGATGAAAGTGTTCTTTCCTCCCCAGTTAGCTCAGTTGGTGATTGACCTGAATAACCAAATGCAGCAGAAGGATAGGGAGATGCAGATGAATGAAGCAAAGTGAGTAGAGGCGACCCTTCTGGGACTGGTCATGGGTTGCACTTGTCCTTTTACTGTCGGCCGGTGGGCGGGGCCGGCGGTGATGGCTGGTGGATGGGAGACACACCGGGCTCAGCAAGAGTGTCATTTCTGTGCATGCACAGCCTACCTGCTCTAAGGGAGACAAAGGCAAGGACAGTGCCCTCAGTCTCCCAGGTTCCCAGCACACCCCTGGGAAGTACCCTTGGCCCTTGGAGTGTTCCTGAAGCATTCATGGCTCTCCCTGTGGGCACTGCATATGGCAGCCGGTGTCTTCTGTGGTGGAGATGCGGCCAGCATATGTGAGTGTGTGGCCCTTGGGAACAGGGATGAGTTTGTGGGCAGGACTATTCTTGATCAGGGAGAAGCCTGGGATTCCCAGTCCTAGGACGTTTGAGCTGGAGGGGAGCCTGTCTTTCATCTGTGCCTTTTTCCCTTTCTCTGCAGACAGGGGTCTCCAGAGGCTTAGAAAGGCATCTTTGCTCCATGAATGATAGAATCAATAGAATGTGCAGAATTTCCAGCCTCCTCTTAAGCCCCCACTTTAGGCATCAAAGCTCCCTCTGGGGATCCTGCTTTTGTAGTCATTCATCATCTGGATGAATTTCACCCTACATATTTCCTCTCCTAATGGGCTTGTCCTGGAAACCACTGAGGCTGGGCTGGGCTGGGCTGGGCTAAGTAAGAGTCCTCCATGGCACCAGGTGTGCTGGCTGAGGTGATTGTTGGCGGCCCGTGCTCACGTACCTGGCCAGGGTCTCCGGCACAGGGCTCTCGCGTGGTGCCATTCCTCCTCTCTGTGTCCTGCTTTCAGAATCGCAGAGTGCTTGCAGACCATCTCTGACCTGGAGACGGAGTGCCAAGAACTGCGTGGTAAGCTTCAGGACCTCGAAAGAGCCAACCAGACCCTGAAGGATGAGTATGATGCCCTGCAGATCACGTTTACTGCCTTGGAGGAGAAACTGAGGAAAACTACTGAAGAGAACCAGGAGCTGGTCACCAGATGGATGGCCGAGAAAGCCCAGGAAGCCAACCGCCTCAATGCAGAGAATGAGAAGGATTCAAGGTGAGACATCAGTCCACTGTTAGTGGTTTCCGTTTTTGGGGAAGTAGAGCCAGTTCTCTGAAAACAAAAAAACCTAAATCTGTAGCTCTGATGATGGGGGACAGGATGAGACAGTCAGAAAACACTAGTCAAATTAGAAATAGCAGTGGTGGATATAGAAGAGATTTGCATTTATAAGAACACTTTTGTGGCTGAGCAGAGGATTACCTTCCAGAAGGGTTTTTGGCCTGTACAGTTTTTGCCAGTTTCTTTCAGTTTTCTGGGAGAAAAGCTGATTCATTCTTTCTTTCTTTCTTTTTTTTTTTTTTTTAAATGTTTATATTTGAGAGACAAGAGTGTGAGCAAGGGAGGGACAGAGAGAGGGAGACACAGAATCCGAAGCAGGCTCCAGGCTCTGAGCTGTCAGCACAGAGCCCGATGCAGGCCTTGAACTCATGAACCATGAGATCGTGACCTGAGCCAAAGTTGGATGCTTAGCCAACTGAGCCACCCAGGAGCCCCAGAAAAGCCAATTCTTGAACAGTATAAGGTAAAGCAGAATTCAAAAAAGATTGGAATTTCCCCCACCCCTAACTTCATAAAACTGTCCAGACCCATACAAGGTTCTGGCTAGTATACAAGAGGGGTACGATCTAATCTCGCATGAATATAGATGGGAAATTCCAAAGTCTCAAATTTCACTGGTACTTTTTTTTTTCCTACTAGGATTTATCCCAGGAATGAAAAGATGGTTCATTAGGAGATCAATTAAGTCTACCACCTTGCATGGTAAACAGTATGACCACTTTAGTAGATCCCCAAAATGCCATTTGTTCAGACTCAGTTCCCAGTCCTGATAAAAACCCTTAAACTTGGAACAGAAGCTTTTAATAAAAACACCTGTCTACAGCCAGTAGCTGATGGTGTACTTAACGAGGAAGCCTCCCATCTCAGACCCCAGAAGTCCGTCTCAGTGGAGGGAAATGTGTGTTGAAAATTCCCACAGAGTCCCTAACACATCAGAACCAGGACACGGAACGCAAGGTACTAGAAGCAGCGGGTGGGGGTGGGAGAGGGGTCATGCTGATCCACCTAGAAAGCCTAAGAAAATCCCCTGAGAAAAACTAGCACTTAGTGTTCACCAGAGCTTGGAACATACGATTTTAAAGCCCTGGGTCAGTAGTTTAGAATTTGAAAACCCCCGTTAATAATCTAAAAGAATGAAAATAGGAAAAGGTCTTAAAGAGTAATAGTGATAGTTACTCCTACCAAATGACACATTCAGGTAGATTTCAGAATCTATGTAAAAACTGAAACCATGAGGTAGAAGTAAAAAAAACCTGGTTATCTGCTATTGTATGAAAAATTCCTAAGAGGACTTTCTAAACATTTTAAAAGTAACAGAAAAAGTGGACTGTGTAAAATTTTCAGATTTCTTAAAGTCAGAGAACACAAAAGCAATCAATGGGACATGTGATTGTCAAGTAAATCTCCTGATATGGAATTGGATTAAGGAGTAGGCGAGCCCTTGCACAGGTGGGAAGTGCAGGGGGTTCGCAAAAGCACGAGCGCATGTGGTCCGTCCATCTGGTCCCCACAGGCTTGGGAAGGAGACGAAAAGCGCCTTCACGTTGCTCGTGGTGAGCCCGTTCCACCACCTCCCGAAGGGCACCCGGGCAGGACCTGAAAAGTGTTCCCACTTTTTAGGCTTCATCCTAAGCTGGTACGGAGACTTGGTCACGGATGTTGTTTTGTGACGGCACATTACTCAGTGAAAAAGCACTACAGCCCTTGGGGGAGAAATAAATAGGGATATTTTCCTCCAGTGGGATTTTACAAAGTCATCTAAAAATACATGTTTTAGGAATACTTAGTGATGTGAGAAAATGGATAAAATTAATGCAACTAAAAATAGGACGGGAAATGTTTTCATAGAACATCTAAAATTTGAATGAAATCAGATGATTGAAAGGAATTACGTTGTTAATGGTGCTTAGTTCTTGGTGGTGAGAATGTGGCTTTTGTTTTCTCATTTTATACTCTTCTGTATTTTCTAACTTTAAGTTTCTGTTGCATTAACAAAATTGAGCTGTCCTTTTGGATTCTGTCTCATATACTTTTTTTCTTTCCTGTAAGATTTTATTTTTATTTTGTTTTTTTTTTTTATTTTTTAATTTTTTTTTAAATTTTAACTTGTTTTATTTTTTATTTTTTTAAAAATTTACATCCAAATTAGTTAGCATATAGTGCAACAGTGATTTTGTAAGATTTTATTTTTAAGTAATATGTACAACCAACATGGGCAGCATGAGGCTTGAACTTACAACCCCAAGATCAAGAGTCACATGCCCTGTGACTGAGCGAGCCAGGTGCCCCCGTGTTCACTTTAAGTAAAATAGCTCGGCCTCTGCTGTGGAGTCCTTAGGCAGCTTCAGGGTGGTGAGCTCCCCTGGGATGCCTGGAAGTCATAGTGTTGCGTGTTGAACACCTGCCCAGGGAGAGGCAGGCAGGATGAGGAGCTTGGTCATCACAGCGGATGGGAGAATAATACAGACTTCGGTTGAGAGTGGGATGAGAGCATGTTACATGTGTGCTCTAGTTCCTTCCTTTGGAATGTCCTCCTGCGGATATGCTGTCGGGGGTATTACTATCTGATTGCGTAGGCAGGGCCCGGGCTTTCTTTTCATTACTTTGCTCAGACTTTACTCTTTAGAAATTTTCCCTCCTTCCTGCCAATCCCCAGGTTAGATGTCCTCCTAGCAGCCTTTGTTTACCTGATAGCGTGGCCCATTCCGTGTTCTGACGTAGCTGTTCATGCTCTGCTGAGGTCTTTCCTCATGGTCAGGCACAGCGGCTGCCGTGTCACACACACTCGGGGAGTATCCAAGGAGGACGTTTCTTTTTGGCTCCTCTAATGAAGGCCGGGCTGCTGGTGTTCTCTCCTCCCTGTGACCCTCAGTCTGTCCTATGTCCCTTGCTTGCAGCAGGTGCCTTTCCAGTAGAGGAGGGTCACACACCCCACCCTGACATCCCAGTTTCCCTCAAAGGTATCTCTTCCAGCTAAGAAGAAATTATTAAAGTTTGTCATTTGTCCTGTTCTCGTCTTCCAGGTAGAAAATTAAGAGTGTGATGCACTTTCTTAAGCTGCAGCGTCATCCCTTCCCAAGATTCAGATATGCTACCTAGGGAACTTTTCCCCGTTTTGAGAATTAGTGCTGTGATCGAAGCTTTACAAAAAGTTCCAGCAGAATTCTTGGCTGGGGCTTGATAGCAGTGCTAGAATTCTGCATTGGGAGATCTCCACATAAAGGGTAAAAACCACAAGAGATGAACTTGCCGTGGAAAAGAAAACGAGGCCAAGGTTAAGAGTTAGGGAGATCTTGAATTTAGGACTTGGGGAAAGACAAGAATTGTTCTGAGAAGAGGAAATAGTGGACTCAACTGCTGACCACATTAAATTTGTCTGCAGCCGAGACGTCTTGTGTCCAGCCCTGGTCAGTTGAAGCCGTGTGCGTTCTGACAGTTCAAGAATCTCCTATCTCAGTTTCCTTATCTGTAAAATACTGTTTAATTTCAAAGCATTGTTAACGATTAAATGAGTTAAAACCTGGAAGTAATAATACCAAGCCAAGCAGAAGTAAATTCTAAGTAAATCTTAACTGTTACCATTCATGCTCTGGGTACATTGCTGCAGAAAGCCAGCTCTAGACCACCACTAACCCTGGATAAACCTGGTGTGCCTTTATGTCCTGAGAGGCCCCGGGTCATGACAGGCAGGCTTCTCCCTTGCTAGTTCATTCACTGCTTTCTCTAAGAACATAATCCCTCTTCTGGGCTTTGCTCTGGAATCCCTTAAGATAGGGTTCCTTACTGATGTTACTGGTGTGGGCTTGGGACTTTGGTAGCTTTGCCCAGGGCAGTTATGTTACTGTATTTTATTTTTGAGTTTATTTATTTTGAGAGGGAGAGCGAGAACCCCAAGCAGACCCTACACTGTCAGTGCAGAGCCCGACGCAGGGTTCGAGAACCGTCAGATCATGACATGAGCTGAAAAGAGATGCTGAACAGACTGAGCTGCCCAGGTGCCCCCCAGGGCAGTTATTTTAAATGCGCTGGATATTCAGATGTGTTATTAGAGCTAGAAGTTTATTGAGAGCCAAAACCCCGTGCTTTCTTCAAGCAGATATAACCAGTGGGCTTTGTTTTAATAGGCGGCGGCAAGCCCGGCTGCAGAAAGAGCTTGCAGAAGCGGCAAAGGAACCTCTACCCGTTGAACAGTAAGTAGAGATATTCCTGTCAAAACTGTGCTGTTAGTAATTTGATTCACTCTTTTAAAATGACTTTGTAATGTTTTTATTTCTATAAAACCGTGTTATGGATTAGTGGAAAGAAAACCAAAAGATTTAAGGGAGCCGATAAAAACCTACTCGTTACCTCCCAGGAGGCACCTCTAGTGTATGCTCCTCATCAGCCATGAGCGCAAGGTCTGACTTCCCTCACTCTGAACAGGTGACTGCTGCCTGCCTGCTGCTTTCCTCTCGACACTTTGATCCATTTTCTACCCCTCGTCGGGCCTGTTGCCCTGTATTGCCGGGCTGGGGTTCTATCTCTTGCTCTCCGTTCTTGGTGACTCCTGTAGGAGAAAGGTGTTCATACCGAGGCCCTGCTTTAGATTTAGAATACGTACATTTCTTCTGTACTCCCAGATGTGGAAAATAAATCTGCAGTGTATTTTCCTGAAACTACAAAAAAATGATTGACCTAGAAATGACAGCTTTTCTGGAAACTACAAAAAATGATTGACCTAGAAATGACAGCTTATGGAAGCTGTTTATGCTGCCTCCTGATTGCAGCGTAAAGAGGTGGCTGGGCGTGACACGACTCAGGTCCCGCATACTGCCCAGGATCTCACAGAACAGAGCTGAGCAAACCTAACCTAGGGGTGTCTGACTATAGAGGCCTGTTCTTAGTCTCTGTGCTTCCCACTCAGTAGGATTTCTGGGTCAAAGGCCGTGTCTATCTTTGAAGGGTTTCGATTACCAGTTGCCACATCCTGGTGTTTTCTTAGGGCCCTGGGCCTTTGCACCGTCTGAGTGTCTTCATGTTGTAGTATCTGAAAGTGTTCACATAGGGTCAGCTCACGTTTGCTGCTCTGTCGTTGCCCTTGTGTGAACACGAGTGACTCCCCCAACCCACAACCTCGAAGAAAAGAAAGGCCAGCCTTGTTCTCTTTCTTCAGGCCTGCCTTTGGTCTCCCGACATCCCTGCCAAGACTGGGGTCAGTTGCATGGAGTCCTAAAATCAATAGCCAAGGAAAATGAATTTACTTTGACTTGGTTTAATTTGCTTGGTAACAAGTTAAGTATATATTTACATAATCCAAATAATTAATCATGGAAAAATCTTGCTTTCAAGTTCTAAGGAGTCCAAATATTAGGTGATAAAGTCTTGGGTTGTTAGGTTTTATTACTTTACTTCTCCGTGAAGATTGCAACTCGGCAGGAGGTCATTAAGACCAAAATAATTACTTGCCTTCCCCTGAACCAGGAAGGGGAAGGGGAGGGGAGTGCCTTCCAGAGGCACTTTGTATCCAGTGGGATAAACAACAGTGCCTTTCTGTGGTTTGATTATCTTGTGGGACATGCGATGGACTGACTCCCAAGATGTCAGAAGGACCAAGTGTTTGAACACAACCACAAAATACCCAGAGTCAAAAATGAATTGGGTTTAGATTTTGCCTTCCCGTTTTTTAGTATGAAAGCACTATTTGAACCCGATAGTAACGCAGCCGCTGATTTCATTGCTCTTCCAGTAGTCCTTCGTGTCCCCCTGGGCCTCCTGCCTACACTGCCCTTTTCTTTCTTGTACTCCATACTTGCCCCGGCCGTCCTCTGTGCCGCTCAGCCCATCTCACGGGACTGTATCGGGAGCACTGCAGCTGTGAGCCAGACTTCTGGAAAGACCGTCCCTTGGCACGCCATGTCGTTACAGACTTAATAAACCATTGTTGTTGCCTGCTGAGTGAGAGCTGTGTTCACACCTCACAGGATCAAAAAATTGCTTTTCAGGTTATTTCCAGCTGCAATTCTGGATTTGATTTCAGCAGGTTAAATGTTTCTCTTAGTACATTCAGAGTGTGGCCGCCCCTGGTCCTCCAGATAACCCTTGGCCGTCTCCGAGGCGCACAGGCTGACTAGGCGATGGTGCCGACATTCGTAGAGCGGACTCGCCACAGAGCTCCTGGTTAGCAGAATCAAAGACTCGGCCCCTTGCCTTTCTTTCCAGGGATGATGACATTGAAGTCATCGTGGATGAAACCTCTGATCACGCCGAGGAGACTTCTCCTGTGCGAGCCATCAGCAGAGCGGCCACGTAAGTGGACAGGGTGGGCTGGGAGAGGAGAGCTCGAGCCACAGTCTGACAGCACATTTGTGGCCAGGACCTGAGCAGCCTGATGCATCCAGGGCCCTCGCTGGAGCGTCCGGCCCCCCGGTCCTAGGCATGGAGCGTGCGGGCTCCTGAGTGTCCCCGTCTTCCTCAGGTCACCTCTTAATGGGAGACAAGCTGTCCCTTTGTGCTGCCACCAGCTGTGAGGGGAGGCCGAAAAGAGTGTAGTGGCTTTCTGCAGGAGGGACAGGGACACCTTGTTGGGCAGATCAGACTGTATACTTCTTCCTTGGGTTCCAGGATTTTTTCTCTTTGCTAGAGCAGGACTGAAAGGGTGGGGATTGGTTATTTACGGACCCCTTGAGGTCAGATTAACTGTGTCCTTGTCTAAAGCACGATATCCAGGACAGTTAACTTAATGTGTGGGAACCTTGTTTCTTTTAAAACTTGGAAGCTAGGTCCTCCCTCCTGCCTTCCCACTGTTTTCTGGTGGTTTGCTCCTCTGAAGGGTTTCTCAGCTGGGGTTTGGGGACTCCATGGGAAACATACTCCCAGATGTCTATTTTTGTGGACTGTGTTTTATTGATGAATGATTTGGGCAAAATGTTTCTAAGGTTTAAACCTATGCTCCCCTCCTCTTTAGTAAGCGACTCTCGCAGCCTGCTGGAGGCCTTCTGGATTCTATCACTAATATCTTTGGGTAGGTTAGAAAACCTTCACCTTTCCTTGTTAAATGTGTGTGGATATTCATAAGTATTATGTAGGATTTATCACCATTTTAAATGTACACCAAAATTTCAGTGGTGCTGAGTAGACAGATGCTTTAATTTCAGCTTTTCACTTAGCTTCTTCCTTTTCTCCTCCATTTTCTTTATCTTACTCCCGCTGCGTGCTGATCTCTGGCCTTTCCTTTAGTCTGTCTGAGTCTCCCCTTCTGGGACATCACTCTTCTGATGCTGCCAGGTGAAAATACTACCCTCTCTTGGCCCGGCATGCGAGCGTGGCTCCTCGATAATCGTAATCGTGCTGATCACCGCTTCACCATCCCCCACCGCCCACCCCTCCCCGCCATGGTCGGATGTGCATGTGCACCCAGGCCGCTGTGCATGCTCCTAGGAGCGCTTCACCCTTTTGAGCAGGCGCTAGGTTGAGCTCTTTACCCAGCAGTCACGCTCTCATCCCTCTCTCCTTTGGCATGCATTCGACTCCTCCTTGGCCACGGTGTACGTTGAGGGTGATTATAAGTAGGCATTGATGTCACCTTGAAGTCATCTTACAAAAATACAGATGAGCTCCCTCTGAGCGGGCAGTTACAGTATGTTGAAAACGTTTCATAGCAGTTTATTGACTGGGAAGCAATAGTTTGGGATTGCTTTTCAGTGTTGGGTTTTGGAGTCCATGAGTTAGCAAGCCGGAGAGTACAGGTATGTGCTGGAGATCTCTCCGGGTGTCATTTGGGTGAGGGTGCTTCTGATCGGGTGCATCACTCTGTGGTTTGGAGAGTCTAGGAGGGAGAAGAAGCTACTGCCAAAAGTCGTCTGTGAAGCCCTTCTGGGCGTTTGGTGGACATTAAACCCTGTGCAGTCCTAATAGTTTCCTTTATGTTACTTCTTAGGAGGCGCTCTGTCTCTTCCTTTCCAGTTCCCCAGGATAACGTGGATACTCATCCTGGTTCTAGTAAAGAAGTGAGGGTGCCAACGACCGCCATATGTGTCTTTGTAAGTATGGTTTAACCCCACTCCCAGCAAGCTTTGTATGGTAACAGAGCCTGACAGTTAAAGGATCCATTCTGTGCTGCAGCTAAGTTTCCTACCATTTTATTTGTAGCAATAGCGAGCTCTTACGCCTGTTGGCTCTGTCTGAAGGAAGGGATTGATACATTTTGCTTAGGTTCAGGGGGCAGGATTTATTGTAACCATTCTCTAACATAGGACTGGCTGAGAGAAATTGGTAACATGAGAGATGGGAAAAGGGAGAAGTGATTAGGGTTGGTGAGAAGTTACAGTCATGCATGTAATTGTCGTCACCAGTTGGCTTCCATCTAGAATGGAGATTCTGGTCAGTAGTCTGTTTTAGAAGGTTGATAAGGGCAGCTGTTTGCTTCATGAATCTGCCCAAACCCGTGTGACTTGCGATTGTTAGGAGGAGTAAGGTTGGAAGCAGGAGACTGTCCTGGGCAGAGGCCACTCGATAGCCGGACTGTCAGCTGGAGTTCAGAGCTGGGTGCTAGTACCGAGGAGTAATTAGGTCCCCACTGGGGTGATTGAGCAGCACTGGGCCCAGCTTGGAGAAACACAGAGTACCTGGCTCAGGGCCAGCAGGCAGGAGGCTGGTGGGGACCGAAAGGCAGAGCAGGGCCCAGGTAGCTGGGCTGACTCTTGGATTGCATGGGGTGAGTTAGAAGAGCTCGCTTTCAGGGTAGAGAAAGACACGCTGTCAAAATGGGATGAAATTTATATGGGGGAAACTTTCAGTTCCAGGCATAAGGAGGAACTCAGGAGGTTTCCACACCGCAAACTGGTTGAGTGGTTTAACCACCTTGTATGTTGTCAAGGGAGTCTCCCTCTAGATGAGGAGTTAAACTGAGACAGTCAAGACCCCTTCGGTTTCCTGCGGAGGTCAGTGATGATTGGTAAAAGGTCTGATTGCACTAAACATCACAGCCCCTTCCCTGCCCTCACCTCCCAGCAGCCCATTGTTTCCTCCTGTCACATTTAAGTCATGTGTACGGGGTAATGGAGCAGCTGATAGTTTGGGATTCTGTCAGTGTGTGTTTCTGAGAGTGGACAGTTCACAGCTGACAAATATCCGACAGAACCAGCCGTGCAGGAGATTGAAGAGTGGCAGCTATGGGTGTGATGGTGCATGATCTCAAGTTTTCAATCTGAGACCTCCCAAGTAGAAAGCATAAAGAAGGAAAAGGAAGGGAGTCACATGGAGGCAAAAAAGGTTGGTCCCCCTACAGCTTTTCAGCAATTCAGAAGGGCTGAGGTGGGGGTGTCATCACCAGGGAGAATAATAGTAAGACAGTAATAAAGTGATGTTTCTGTCGCCATCAGTTAATGGTCATGTTTCTGATAATATTTCAAGCATCTTTTTCAGTCCCAAGCAAATGTGACAGATTCTGTCTTCCCAAAATGATGTTTTTGGCAAGTGATTAATGACTTGGCTTGTTGGTTGGTTGGTTGATTGGTTTGAAGTTTATTCATTTATTTTGAGAGACAAAGGGGGAGGGGCAGAGAGCGAGAATCCCAAGCAGGCTCGGTGCTCAGTACAGAGCCTGACGCTGGGCTTGATCTCACGACCCACACGATCGTGATCTGGGTCCATATCAAGAGTCAGATGCTTAATTGACTGAGCCACCCAGGCACCCCAGTGATCTACTACTTGTAATCCGTGTTTTCCAGTCTTTTTTTTTTCTCCCTTTTAATTATAGAGATTTTCAAATCCAGAAAAAGAACTTCCGGTACCATCATCTGTCAGGCAGCTCTAGTTACCCACGTTTGCTAGTCTTACTCTCTCGCCCACACACTTTACCGGAGCACTTTAAAGCAGATTGCAGACGTCGTAGTTCATCCGCAAAGGTTGCAGCGTCTGTAGTCTTTTAAGAGAGGTTTTAGTGAATCTTCTCATATTCTTTTCTCCCATCTTAGGAGAGGATGCTTTTTACTCCGCTTCCCTTCCCATCCTGAACACAGAAAACATGCCACCTTTTCAGATTATTTGTTCTAGTTTGAATGCCAGTCTCAAAAATTTCCCTGTGAAGAATTTAAATTCTCCCAAAGTAACACCTATTTTATTGAAGGCCTTCTCGAGGTCAGGCACAGTCCTAGGTCACAAAACCTGTGGAAGTCTTTTCCTGTATATGGGCAAACTGAGGCTTTGGGAAGCTAAGAAACTTGGCCGAAGTCACCCTGCTAGTACACATTACAGAGCCATGTTTCCAGAACTGAGTAGAATCCCCCTGTTACACTGATGTGTGTTGTAGCAGCAGGAATGGCATCCACTCGTATCAGGACTCCATGTTCAGATTACTCCTACTAGGAAAACCATAAAAGCTTTTTTTTTTTTTTTTTTTTTTTTAAATCATGAGAAATCATGCTGTACTTCCACTAGATAAAGAGTTTAGTGTGTGGCGTTAATATAATCTGGACCAAAAAAGAGGCAGTTAAATCAGAGGCTTACTTTTAAGCTATGAAGATCATAGAATATAGATTGAAATTGCATTTTTCTTAAGAAGAAATAAAATTAAGGCAAAGACAAACTTTAGGCGGTGAATCTACACAGATTTTGATTCCTTTTTAAGAAGGTTGCTCTGTATTTAAAAAATGGAACTGTAACTTACAAGAATAAAATGGTAGCAGAGTCTCGGGGAACCCTAGGCTAGGAATCCAAGTTAATTTATGAGTGATCTCCTTTATTTATGGATAAATGTCTAACACCTTTGGTTAGGCATCCAGAATGTTTGTTTGTATTGGGCTCGCTCTTCTCGAGAATGGCAGTGATTGGGGTTGAAGCAGGGTGCTTGTCTTGCAGGACGCTCATGATGGGGAAGTCAACGCTGTGCAGTTCAGTCCAGGCTCCCGGTTGCTGGCCACAGGAGGCATGGATCGGAGAGTTAAGCTTTGGGAAGTGTTTGGAGGTGAGACCTGAAGAGTGAGAGAGGGAGGCTGTGTTGGGGACATCTGGTTGACCTTGTTTTCAGGCAATGTTTGAATTGTTCATCTTCTCAAAATATACAGTATTTTGTGTAAGGGATCATCTGACCAAAGCAGCATTACCATCTCAGACATTACAGCCAAGTGGCCGTTGCTCTGAGTTTTTAAGTAGTGACTAGAAAATGCTGTTAAGTTACAGATACGTTCGTGTTTGCATTTTCTCAGATACGTACTAGAATATTTTCCAAGATAGCACAGGTTTTAGAAGGAAAATAAAAAGTCTTACAGTTTTAGACTTTATAATTAAACTACGCATTGAGCTAAGGTGTGTGCATTTAATAACACAAGTGGCCTTGGCCTGGGGGAAAATGACTGAGGTCATATCTAAGCTTGGGAAGAAAAAGAGGGGTGTATCTCCCAGGAAAAATGTATTTAACGAGCAGCGTATCATCAAGAGCCCAAAGATCAACACCCAGTCTCTTTGATTAGACCTTGTTTCCGAAGTGACCTGTGAGTACTCAGAAATGCAGTGGCATTAGAACAGGAAATGGGGCTTAATGAAACCATCTCTTAGACTTCTGAAGCTGGGGATAGCTCAGTTTCAGCATTTTGAGATTTAGTTAGCTACTCCTGGTTTTTTTTTAAATAAAGCAAGGTCAAGGGATACGGCTGAAGGTGTTAGTAAGAACCAGTTTGTCAAGTTTCTGCAGTTGTAGCACACGCACGCTGGCTGTCCAGCAGTGAGTAGCTCCAGGATGCCCTGGTCTCTGTCGTTTCCCCCGATCCTCACGACAGCCCTGTGCAGTTTGAAAGGTACGTGTCGCCCCTACTTGACAAGATGAAAACAGGAAGACTCAGAGACCCTACTTGATTTGCGTTGTTGGTTTACATGGCTGATAACTGATCGGTGAGGCAGGGGAGGGGCACAGCCGGGACCTGACCTGGGTCCTGTGACTGCGGAGCCCTCGCTCTTCCCACTGCGGCCTCCCTTTAGCTGTAGAGCTGCTAAGCCTGTGTTGCTGCTTTTAGTGTGTTCAGAGCAAGAGCAATCTATTGATCCCTTTGGTTGTAACAGATTATCAATAAAGCACCAAACTTGTGTGCTCTGCCCCCCCACAAGAAAGTGACTCTAATTAAATTCCTGGCAGTTATAGCTATTTGAAGGCCATCAAGATTTGTGCCGTTTTACCCAGAAACACCTTATGAATGATAATTGCGGGAACTGTTGGGAAGACAACAGTAAAGCCATAGAGTAATAATGGAAATTTTATGAGATTTGGTTTTTTAAAATCTTAGGTAGATAGCAGTTTTTTGTTTTTAATTTTTTTATGTGTATTTATTTTTGAGAGCAAGAGACAGAGTGCGAGTGGGGGAGGGGCAGAGAGCGAGGGAGACAGAGAATCCGAAGCAGGCGCCAGGCCCTGAGCTGTCAGCACAGGGCCTGATGCGGGGCTCAAACCCACGAACTGTGAGATCATGACCTGAGCCAAAGTCGGATGTTCAGCTGAGCCACCCAGGCGCCCCAGTAGTCTGTTTGGATTGTGCCTTGTGATTAAATAAAAATCACCCTAGAAATATTTTTTACTTCTGAGTCAATAAAAGCACCTATAAGAAAATGAGAACCAACCTTTGGTAACAGTGTTACATTTTTGCTGCCGAAGAGGAAGTAAACGCTAATGGAAATTATGAAATAGTTTGAGGGGGTCCTGTTTTTTACCCTTTTAAAATATCAGAATAACTGCAGTTTCTGCCCAGTAGGAACATTTGTCCTTGCTCATTCTATAAAAAGCACAAGCTCCATTGGGAATTGTTTGTATAAATACTGTTGACATAGCGTCCCTTGGTGTCTTCTAGATAAAAGAGCTTTGGTAAGGTCTTTTTGGTCATTTGAGATCATGTAGAATAGCATTTATTGATCCTTTCTTACATTTTGGCCTGTGTCAACTGCCAGAGAAGTAGACCGATATCTTGGGCATAAGCCAGAGAGATATTTCTTAGAATTTACAGTAATATTTTTGTAAAGATCTAATCTAAATAAAGACCTTAATTAGTGGATGTTGGCCTCTTTTTGACTTTTGAAAATCTAATGAAAGCTAGGATCAATAAAAGGCATTAAATGTGCTATACAGGTATTTTGCAGATAAATTCAGAAGGAGGGATTCGCGAAGCCCTCAGTAATCCTGACCCTAAATATTTGACAGCTCCAGACCAGTATTTATATCATAGTTTTTGCCAGTAAGAGAAAAGGCTGTTCTTTGTGATGTTCCCTATTTTGTGCTCCCCTTTTATGAATTTGATTTGAATGGTTCCCTAATTGTTTCTCTGGACTTGCCATCGTTAAGCTGCTCTTTAAAAAAGGAACTTAGTCACATCATCTTGAGACTCGTACTCTTACAAGTTTGTGCCTGCATCATTAAAGTTTCTGCGTGGGTGGCCAGAGCTGTGTGAAAGCAGGACCCGGGCACGTGGCTGGGCCTGTTGTGAAGGTGGCTGGGGAGAGGGGAGCATTGACAGGCAGTGGGATTGCCAGAATCTTAGGTTCCCGGAGACAGAGTAAGCATAAGGACAAATTGCAGAAACTCCAAACTAGCTTTACTGGCATTCTGAGGACTAGCCAGTTACACAGAACTAAAAAAAGAAATCCTTTTCAGATCCGAATGAGAATTATCACATGGATCCTGAAAATTTAGTGGTCAGCTTCTACAGAAGTGATAGCTCAATTGACGCGAATACTGATCAAACCCAAAGATGTATTTATCTGAATTAGAAACATTTTACTCAGAAGTACCAGAACTAAAACTCAGTCTCTAGGTGCATTGACATGTCTTTAAAATTCCCGCATCTACCTCTTTGTAAAGGGAATTAATGACTCCGAATTTCTTGAAAAGACCAATTGAATGCATGCGAACTGCTAAGCTCTGCGTCCATGTACACATGCATCGTCCTTCCAGCTGACTAGCTGTGTATTTGTCCTGCTATACTTAGACTCTGCGTCAGTGCAGGAAAGCTGCTGTTGTGAGCCTGTAATTGGTTTCCATTGTGTTTCAGGTGCCCCATTGTAACTTCAGTATTGGCTTTACTCTTTCTTTCATTTCTTTCCTCAATCTTTCTTTTTTTCCAGATAAATGTGAGTTCAAGGGCTCCCTGTCCGGCAGTAATGCAGGAATTACAAGCATTGAATTTGACAGTGCTGTAAGTATATAGTATCCGGGGAAATGGGTGAGTTTAGAAGGTCTTAGAAAAAATTTAAGACATCTGGTTCTTGGAGTTTAACTCAAATGGTTTGTCTGCTGTTCTCTATTTTTTTTTTAATTTTTTTTTTTCAACGTTTATTTATTTTTGGGACAGAGAGAGACAGAGCATGAACGGGGGAGGGGCAGAGAGAGAGGGAGACAGAGAATCGGAAACAGGCTCCAGGCTCCGAGCCATCAGCCCAGAGCCTGACGCGGGGCTTGAACTCACGGACCGTGAGATCGTGACCTGGCTGAAGTCGGACGCTTAACCGACTGCGCCACCCAGGCGCCCCTGCTATTCTCTATCTTAAGTGATATCAGTGATAGGTCAGGATGCAGGTAGATTGTCAGTTCTTTGCTGGCTGTGACTATGATGAAGATGTGGGGGGGGGGGGGGGGGGGGTCAGGTCTGCTGTGCCCCAGCCTGTCATTGTCTCTGCAGACTTGATAAAGGCCGTGGCTGAAGTCCCAGCGGTGCAGGTGGAGGGGAGAGGGGGTCTGGCCAGATGTATCAGAGATGCGTGGGTCTCCGAGGAGAGTAGTTAGGAGATTGAGGGAGGGAAGAGCCAGGGCCTCTGGGCTCTGCAGCTTGGACAGTGTTTAGAGAGCATTGGTATTTGGGGTTACTGAAGGGGGTGGTGGGAGCACTAGTGAACTCAAGAGGACAAGTTCCAGGCTGAGCTGGAGGGTCTGCAGCATTCTGATGGGATGGGTTTGAGCAGACTCAGGAGAAAAGTGGATTTACCAAAATTGGTGGGTTGACAGAATCCTGGGGATAACGGTTGGTATTCCACATCAAGTGTGCAGCTTTTAGGCATCTGAACCTTTCCTGGACCTGATTCTTGGGGAATTTGTATTGTGTGGACTGAGATCTTCTAATTCGTCTAAAATTTGTCTCCCCCCTCCCCACTCTCCCTCATTCCCATAGGGATCTTACCTCTTAGCAGCTTCAAATGATTTTGCAAGTCGAATCTGGACTGTGGATGATTATCGGTTACGGGTAAGATTCAATTAAGAAAGCTAATATCTCCAAACTTCCATGAGGTTCTCTAGGAATAAAATGTAGGAAATGGCAGGTTGATTAATGAGGAGAATCCTGTTTTCCTGAAAATCATACTTGATTCCCTCTGCCCTTTTCCCTTTCTCCCTTGGGAAAATTTACATTTCCACATTATGTTCTTTCCTAGCCCAAGATTCAGTTTCAGAATATTTGCAGCAGGAAACCCTCACATTTCACATGAAAGTCTCCGTGTTCCTGTTCAGAACAGGTGCCTTGGGTATGTGTCACTTTTAGCTGAACTTCAGCGATCCTGACACCATTGTATAAATTGTGTTTGTTACGGGCTCTAAAACTTAATAATCACTTCACAGAGTATAGCTGAAAGTAGGACGTAGGAATGCATATGGATGCACTTAGGACAGCGATCATAACCAGGCTGGGAGACAGGTGTGAGAGAGAGGGAGAAGGACAGGTTTGGACGTGGAGGGGTTTGCCCTGGAACCCAGAGTTGCCAAGAAGTTGCTTGGCCTCCGCAACAAAGACCAAAACTTGATGGTTCTATCACTTTTGTTCTTTTTTTTTTTTTTTTTAAGTTTATTTATATTTGAGAGAGAGTGAGAGAGGACAAGCAGGGGAGGGACAGAGAGAGAGGGAGACAGAGCCCGATGCAGGGCCTGATCCCACGAACCGTGAGATCATGAGCCGAAACGAAGAGTCAGACGCTCAACTAACGGAGCCACCCAGGCGCCCCTGTCTCGCTTTTGTTCTAATGAAAAACAAGTAGCTTAATTTGGAGACGTTCCGTTTTTCTTCTTAAGCTTGAAGCAGTTTTCACATGAGCTCATGAAAGGCTGTTGACAGGTAAGGTGGAGGATGCACTTTTTATGAAGAAAAAGGCTTGATTCAAGCTTTCGTATGTCAGCCCCCATGAAAAGTAGGACATGATGTTAAAACCTCAAGATAAATCGCACAGAGGTGGGGAGCTGCTGCAGAATGGTCCATTGGGTAGGTGCCGGTCGTCTGATTTGAAGACGCAGCCACGCGGCGGGAAGAATCTTCAGAAATGCACGGTTACCGCATCATGCAGGCTGTCCGTTTTCTTTAAGGAGCTGTATGGAAAATCCCCAGTACTAGATGGTAGTCGGGAGCTCCAGGGTGAGAATTCGTCATTCTCAGTTGAAAGAAGACCCAAGGCTGCACGTGCAAAGTGTGGGATTGAAGGTGACAGAGATGATGTTCCCTTGTGAAAGCTGGAGAACTTTCAGGCATGTTCTCGACTGAATGGAAGAACAGGGAAGTGGGCAGCTGGGCGCCCGTGGACGGGGCTGGACTCTGCTCAAGCAGTGCTCACTGCTGTTCAGGCGTTTGCACAAGCTTTTCGTTCAGGCCCTATAGTTCTGCCCCCTCAACGCGGCCTAGCCTGTTCTCGTGGCAGCATTGTAATCCACATACCGTGTGCTCTACTCTGCTCCCTGTCGATCACTTACTGGACATTTGGGACAGGGTTGAATACCTCTGGAGTCCTCAATTTGCCTAAAGGAAAAGGGATCTCTTCTGGAGTGGCTCTTACGTGTCAGGCCCAGCCCTGAGATGTGTTCTATACATTACTGCTTTTTAACTGCCACGCCAGGGACACAAGGTGAGGTGAGTAGGTATGTGAGGAAACTGAGGCTCAGGCCCACAAAATTGCCTAAGGTCACACAGTTAACAGATGAGAAGATGCGAGTTGGAACTGAAGTCTGTACTCTTCTCTGTGTTTGATTGACCTGGATTATTCTAGTACCTCCGGAGACTGAGGTATAGCAAAACTGTCTAAGAGTGAAGAGGGACATACAGTTTTCCTTACATTGTAGGCCCTTGAGGAGAAAAGCAAAGAGTTGAGTTGTCAGCCAGTTGCGTAGGATGATATTGTTCATTGGTGGAAGAGTTCTGCTCAGGTGGGCGGAAATAAGAAAGGGACTTGGAGGCGGGAGCTAGACCTGGAAGACAGAGGTCACGATGTTGGCACACTCTTTTCAAGTGAGCTAGCTTACAGAGGTGGGCTGGGTTTCACTGGAGAGATGCTCACGGTGCTGGGGCACCAAGCCTAAGCTGGGGTTGCTGACAGGTTGGGGAGATGGTGCCGGGATGGTTAGCCTCCTTCGCTGAGCTAGCTGGCTTTGAGGGCCTCTGGTCAGCTCTCGGTAAATGTGTGATGAAGATCGGGAGGCCTTTTTAAAGATTGTCTGTGCCCAGCAAAACCACATGAAACTCTTAACCACGCTCCAGGAAATAACGGGCTCCCTGTTGTAGGAGGTTCTGGTTTCTACATAGATAGACCCTAGTTAACAGAAGATATCGGAAGACATGAATGGAGGGAGCCCCACGTTCCGAAATTCAGGATCCAGGCCTTGGTCGGTCGGTATCTCCTTAGCTTTTATGATAAGGGAATGGTGTTTAGGAGAGACCAGAATGCAGGGAGCAATTGGTTGAGTGTTTACTGTAATAAAATCCTTGTAGCAAGGGTATCCTAGAAACAGCCTGGTATTGAAAGGAGTCCATGACAGAGGACTCCCTTGAATCAAGCAGATGTTTTAGACCCCCTTAAAAATCCGGAAGGTCAGTGCAAAACTCCAATGTGACTTGAGCAAATGGATTTGAAGAACCCACCTGTTCGCTTCCCTAATGTTGACGTGGGAAAGTAACCACAGTGACAGGACTGGCTTTGTTTCAGGACCTCCCTCCTCAAGGTGTGCATTTTTCTGGGGTCCGGTGCCGGCTTGATTGCGAGTCCGCCCTGAGGCACAGAGGCGCCTGGCAGAGCCCTTGCTCTGAGGGAGGCTCAGGCTGCTGTGACATCTGAACCCACTGCCCCATCTCTTAGGAGTCCCTGTTGAGAAGAGGATGATAAAAGCTAAAAGTGTTAAAATTAATGAAAAGAAACATCAAAAACACCGAAAGGATAAAAATTTTACGTAAAACTGATCCATTTAAGAGAAGGACGTTTTAAATTATGCAAAAGAGCAAATGCTGTAGGAAGCTACATTCCGTACCCCGGAGAGCATGGAGATGTGGCCTGTCAGCTGGATTTCCTCCAGGAACGAGGCTTGCAGCGGGCCAGACTCGGCCAACCTACGTACGAAGAGCCAGGAAGTAACAGTATCCCTTTTCTTTCTTCGAGGAGTCCATGAGTTTTATTCCGGGAAATTAGGGGAAAGCTGTGTGCTTGTAGCCATTCGTCGCAGCATCGTTTGCGATGACCTCGCGACTTCTAAAGTGATTCTAACCGTCCCATGTAACCGTGAGCACTCTTCGGGGGTGCGGAAGGGATGAGCGCCAGGGCCCCCGGCCGTGGGGCCTTGTGCTCAGGTCACCTTGTTTGGTCCTTACCCGGACAGCGTGAGGAAGAGGGTGGTCTCCCGGCTGTTCCGGCCCCCGGGTGTTCAAAGCCAAAGCGTTGTGACCCCAAAGCCCGTGCACCTTCAGCTGTCACGTGAGAAACTGCTTGCACTATAATGTGAAAAGAGCAGTGGGTAAACTTCTAGGAGTGCTTTGACATGAAATAGAAGAAAGTATTGCGAACGTGGAGTTCACAAAAATGGGCGCGCTCGCACAGCCCATTCGTGAGCAGGGTCTCTCCAGTGTTGGCGAGCTGTGATTTTACTCCTGTAGTAAGAAGGAAATCAGTGAATGTGCCCTAAACTTTGGGTACTTTGTTGAAATAGTTCTTTGCTAAGAACTTAATTTCCATAGTGTGAGGAGGACCTTTCCGAGTGTTTTGTCTCCCCACGATTCGTACAGACGGGATGGTGTGTGCCGAGTGGCGCCGTCGCTCCTGAACCATAGTGAATGGAAGCCTCGTTGCTGGAGTTGTCTTGATCTTACGAGCAGGATCCGTGGGAGGTTTTTACACAGCCGCAGCCACAGCACAGCTGCCCCCTGGCTGGCAGCAGTCGTACGATGCCGTTCCAGCCTCAGAGTGGGAGAGAGGAGTCTTGGAATCCGTGCCAGCTTCTCCCTTCCTGAGGGAGGACGCGCGGGCCTGCGTCTTCTGTTCCTGGGCTGAAGTGGCGCCGCTCCACTGAGCAGGGAGGGAAGATTGGTTTGAAAAATTCCAGCACTAAACGTGTAACACAAAACTGAGATCTCCTCCTTGGGAGTTGGGGTTGAAACCCAGTAAGTTAGTTACCAGTTGTAGTAAGCATATTAAAGCTTTGCTTTTCTTTTTTTTTCTTTATTAGTTAGATGGTTAGAAAAAAAAAAAAAAAAACAATGAATACCCAGTGAGCCTTTGACAGTTTGCACACATAAGCATGTTGGCCCACACTGAAAAGAGGTCACCGATGAGTGGTGAGCAGTCAGACTCCCCGGCTCCCCTCCCCTAACCCTTGGCCTCCCGTGGGGCTCCGATAGTGCTGTGATGGGCAGGGGGGCTGCTGGCCCTAGGTGAGGCCTCAGTTCTGGGCTGCGTGGCCGGCACCCGACAGCCAGCCACTAAGGGGTTTGATTGTCGGGAGTACTGGTGTCTGTGGTTCCCAGCTGACTTTTCAAGCTGAGACCTCTGATTGAAAAAAAACCCCAGGGGTTTTAATTGTTTATTTAAAGAGTCCTGATGTTTCCTTTTGTAAATTATGCCTGCAGGGAACCTGTCCTGACTTTAAATAGGGTCTGGACTTTCAGAGGCACTGGGTAAAACCCAGGCTTTTAGAATTTTGTAATTTGATATAAGCCAGCTTTACAGAAAAGCTACGAGAGAGTCGAGAGTACTGCGGACTTGTGGCATCTGTCCCAGGGCTTATGTCAAAACGGTACTCCAGCTGCCTGTCCCATTGTTTTGAAGATGGAGGCGTGTGACGTTTGTGCTGCTTTTGTTTTGTCTTGGAATGTGCTGGGAGATTTCTCCTCTTCCTCTGGATACCTCACCCCTGGGCAGCACCGAAAGACAGACTTTCTGGATGTTTTGCCGCACTCCATGACGTATCCTTTGGTCTGAGTCTTCCTGACCAGATCTCTGGGTGTTTTGAGAAGCTGGCTCTCCCGACGTGGTGCGTGTGTCCCCCAAGGCTCACCCCTGCTGTGTTCTCTCCCCTAGCACACGCTCACAGGACACAGCGGCAAAGTGCTGTCTGCCAAGTTCCTGCTGGACAACGCGCGCATTGTTTCCGGAAGTCATGACCGGACCCTCAAGCTCTGGGATCTCCGCAGCAAAGTCTGTGAGGAAATCAGTCTCTCTGAATATATGTACGATTAGACGTTAACCGCGAGGTGTTTGTTTCCACCCGAAAGCCTGCGTTTAGTGTGATACAGTTTGAATTGCAAGTCCGGTTTCATACTCAGAGTGGCGTTGAGGTAGTGACAGCTTTTCACGTTTGAGATTTTGTTTAAATGAGGAGCTCTGGCTAGCTGGGGCGAGAGGGCAGCGCTGCTATGCGCACGGCCACCGAGGGGCCGCTGCCTGATCACTAACGTATGGTTTTCCTACAGGCATAAAGACCGTGTTTGCAGGATCCAGCTGCAACGATATCGTCTGCACAGAGCAGTGTGTGATGAGTGGACACTTCGACAAGAAAATTCGTTTCTGGGACATCCGGTATAAAACCCGAGAGCTCGGTGGAGGCGGCTGAGGGGAGGGTCTGTCTGTGGTGGAACTCTGGTGATGTTTTGTGTCTGGGTTGTGTTTTTTAAAGTCCCTGGAAGTGGCAGAAATGAGCTCCGAGTGCACACTTACCATAATAGTTCCATAATTCTTTACCGTGAGGCAGACCGTTGCGTTCAGCGGTCACTTACGAGCGTGCCCTGTGCACTCACTGGGCCCTTTACCAAGTGCCGCGTAAGCGAGGACGGACAGCTAGGTGGTTTAAAGCTGACACGCAAGCCTGCAGTGTTCTGAAGGAGAGCTGGGCACCTCTGTCCAAGGATGTGAGAAAACACCAGTCAGGATGAGTCTGGAGCAGTGAGCAGGCGTCACATGGCAGAAAAGCTCACTGACAGACTCTCCAGACAGGACAGCGGGACGGCCTGGTGTGGCTGAGACGGCAGATCGGGCTGTGGGCAGACAGGACCGGCAGGTGGTGGGTTGGGAGCAGATCAGTGTTTGTAAATGACTTGACCCTCTGAGCCAGTTTAAGGGAGGACTGCTCCTCATGCGCACGAGTGAGGAGACGGTGCTAGTGCTGTCTGGACGGTGTCCTGGGAACGGGGACCTCCTCCAGCAGCATGGGAGGCAGGCGGGGGAGTGGATTTGAGGGAGAATCTGCATTTGGGGGGTGAGGAAGGGGAGAGTTGAAGCCACGCGGGGAACAATCGACAGATGCTGTGTTCAGATAAGGACGGGACGTTTGTGCTTTCCAAGGGACATTTGGGTAAACCGAAGCAGAATTTTTGGGAAACGAGTCCTCGCGGGAGGACTCCAAAGACATGAGGACAGAGTTACTCAGCGGTGGCCCGTGAAACAGGAGACCGCGTTTTAGGGAGCCACTGAGGCAGGGTGGTCACAGATGGGGAGGGAGCCGGAGGGTCCTGTTGTTGGGCCACGGGTGGGGGAGCAGAGGAGTCTGAGGGCGAGGGGAGTCCGGTGGGACGAGGCCGGTAGGTTAGGAGGGAGGTTGCTACTGGTCCCAGTGAATGCAGGACAGTTGTGGAGGGTGGGGACGAGGAGCCTGTGCTTCTAGATGATGCTTAGGAAGGCCTAGTGTGAAGCTGGCACCTCCTGGGCAGCCCTTCCAAGTTGTCTTCATACCCCTGGTTAGCCTCTTTGAACCTGAAACATGGCATGTTAGTGTCGAACTGGGTATCGGGAATCTCCTGGTCCACCCGTTGATTGGACAGGTGAAGACAGACCCTGAGGTGCAGGGAAGGGCATCGGCTTGCCTCCAGCCACATGTTTAGCGACGATGAGATCAACACTGTTACTTAGCGTGGCTTTGGGGTAGGACATCATTTCATCGAAAGCTTACGCCAAAGTGACTACAGAAGGGGCCGCACCTCCTTTGGCTGTATCACCCGACAGGGCCTTGCAGGATTGCCGTTCACAGCCCTGGCCGGGGACTCCGCCCTGGAGTCCAGCTCCACACCTGGAATCACGCAGCCGGACTTGGGGGTCCCGGAGCCGAACTTTGTAAGGCAGGGAGCCCGTGAGAGGCCACACATGCGTCCACGCACAGTACAGCATCCCGGACCCACCAGAGCAAGTTTCTGAGCCCTTGGGTTCGGCAAAGTGTTATCACTGAAAGAGCCTTAAATACATGATAGCCCTGCTCGGTTTGTGCCGGTCCGGAGCTCTGATTGGCACTCACATCATCCCCCAAATGAGCAAGGAAACGAGTTCTTCCCAGATTCAGAGTTCTGGTACTTAAAATATTACTGTAGAATTTACTAACAGAAAAAATAACAAAAGCAGCCACTGAGGCGATTTCTATAAGGTTGGAACATATTCGCTGTCCTTGAAGAGTACCGTGGTCCAGTCAAATTATCTTCTCCCCACTTCTCCGTGGAGCATGGCATCCTGGTGAAAATGGGCAAGTTCTGACACTTCTGTGTCCCGTTTTCTCAGACTTCCCTTCTCTTTTGTAGATCGGAGAGCATCGTCCGGGAGATGGAGCTGCTGGGCAAGGTCACTGCCCTGGACTTAAACCCGGAGAGAACTGAACTCCTCAGCTGCTCTCGCGATGATCTTCTAAAAATCATCGATCTTCGAGTAAACGCCGTCAGACAGACGTTTAGGTAACTGGACCCGTTGGTTTGGGTTGCATTTGAATCTTGCCAGTTTCCTGGGGGGGGTCACGTGAACACCAGAGGCCCTGGCCCTGCTCCTAAGTCCTGAGTGCGGTGAGCTCTTGGGGTAACGGTGCTTTGTTGGTTGCAGCGCCCCTGGGTTCAAGTGCGGCTCTGATTGGACCAGAGTTGTGTTCAGGTGAGTGGTGGCGCTCCTCCCGCCTCGACCCTCGTCCCACCCCCCAACCCAGTGCATCCCCAGGGGGCCTTTGCACACCCTCTCACCCTGAGGGAGTGTCTAAGAGTGACCTGTATGTAAGCTCATCACTAGGGGTCATTATCACCATCTCCTCTTCCTTTCTGGTGTCCTAAGAACTGTTTGAAGGCTTCTGGGGAGGGTGGGCGACTCCCCGGGACAGCGCCGGGCAGGCTCTCTGGAGAAGGGCAGCCCCTTTGCCTAGCTCAGGCTCTGCCTGTGTGGCGCTTCTCCTGCAGGACGCTGAATCGGGGGTGGGCGGTTGACACCTTATCTGGTCTTCCGTGTTCTCCAGCCCTGACGGTGGTTACGTGGCAGCGGGCTCGGCTGAGGGCTCCCTCTACGTCTGGAGCGTGCTCTCGGGGAAAGTGGAGAAGGTCCTTTCAAAGCAGCATGGGTAAGGTGAACCCTCTTAACCCCCTGCGGTCGTAAGCAGGTCCTGTGACCTGTGACCCAGGGGTCCTTTCCTCTTCGGGCACGGACCTGAGTCAGCCCTGTGAGGGCAGCGTGCGCTCGCTTGCTCTGCCGTGAGCTGGGTCGGTGGAGAGAAGCTGGGGCCATTTGTGCAGTACAGCGGAGGGCGGCGTTCTGCTTATTGGTGTCACGGGCTGTTTCAGTTAGAGCCATTCGAGTAGTGGCTGCCGGAGAGAGGTTGGGGCGACAGTCTGCCTTCCTCATTAACTGGCCCCTCCTCTCCGCCTCTCCTCCCTTCTCAGCCCCTTTGCACAGGAAACTGACTGCTTGTAAACACTGATTTTCGCGTGCTATTTTTCAGTCTTCCCCCGGCCTCCTTTAGGTCTTAGCTTTGTTCTCCACCCAAGCTCGCTGCTAGTGAGACACCGGGCTTTCCTCCGTCACCACCTCTCTCCGCCCCCAAGAGCAGTGGCCACTGCCCGCCCCTCAGCCCCCTGAGGCTCTCGTCTGAGGGTACGAGCTGCCCCCTTGGGGTAGTAGCCTTGATAAGGCCTGGCTCCTTTCATTCCTAAACCGCTTCCGAAAATACAACGCAGGGTTCCTTCGGGGTTTTTGGCACGTTAGTAAGGGCCTGCCTGTGAGTGGGAGCAATACTGCCAAGTAAACCAGGCCCTGGAAAAGGCCTTGCTCCCTGAATGTGAAGGGGACCTAGTGTTCAGTTCACCGAGATCTCACACATGTTCCGACCTCTCCCTTTGAAGCTCGTCCATCAATGCAGTGGCGTGGTCCCCCTCCGGCTCCCACGTGGTCAGTGTGGACAAAGGAAGCAAAGCTGTGCTGTGGTCAGAATATTGACGGCACCTCCTCGAGAGAGAGCAGAGCCGAAGCTGGAGACGCACGCAGGCTCCCGCAGCTCTGTCCTGGCGGGGGGTGTGTTGGGTGTAGCTTTGACCGCCAGTGGAGAGCCCGAGCCACGTGGCGCAGTGGCTTCCTTTGCACGGGATTTCCGAGGATTTGGGCTGAGGTCTCTACGGCCTGAAGGAATAACAGTGCGAGAACCTGACCCTGTAGTCACTTAGCAGAGGTGCGGGTTCTTGCCCTGATTCGGTGGGAAACACTACTGGCTCTGATCTTCCATACCTCAGTGGGGAGAGCGGGGACACCTACCGGTTTCCTCGCAGGCCGGCAGTGCCGGGAACACCCCACACACCTGGGGTCGGTTCTCCCTCCAGGCTTTCTCCCGACCTTCTACGGTTGGTTCTGGCCGAATGCATGTCCTGTCACCCTGGGGTCATTTTCCTGGTGAACTCGCTTTAATCATTGGATTAACAGAAACCCAAACAGGATTACCCTTGTCCTCGGCTGCGGGGGCTGCCCTGATTTCTGAGGAGACAGGACTGTGGTCCCTCCCCGTTGGTCTGTGTCATTATTACGAGGCTCTCACTCTGATCTCATCTGATTACTGTTGGAATTTCCTTAGCTCTCCCAAACTGTTCTTAGAAAGCCTCTGTTCTTCAAAGCTTCGGGCGTCCTTTCTCCCCAACAGTGCTATATACTAATTTCTCAGTCAGGAGAGAAATCCCAACTTGGTTAAAAAATACTTTTTGGAGGCGGGAGAGGAAGGGTGCAAACCTTCTTCCAGGAAAGTGTGCTGCAGGGGCAGAGTGTATTCCTGTGTCCGTCTGTAGACTCCTAGAAAGTGGGTGCACGCCACCTTCCAGGGGTGCCTCGCTTCTGCCCGCGGGTGACGAGGGATTGGAGGCCTCGGATGTATTCGCCTGGAGCCGGTAGTTCCAGGTCACTGCCCTTTTGCCAAGCCTACGTGCAATAGCCCCTCGGTGCTTTAGTGCGAGAAGCCCATTCCAAGAAGCATGGGAATGTCATCTTTAGGTTTCAGGAGTTATGAGCAAGGCCGGGGGCAACTGGCCTGTGGCTTTCTTTTTTGTTTGTTTGTTTGTTTTTTTTACACATTTATCCTTACCATTTTACCTGTGTATATCATTTTAGTTTTTGAGTGACTGAAACACCAATACTTCTATCACCTTTTAATTTGCACTTTATATTTTTCCTTCTGCACTTGTTCTCTGGACAGCTGTGGGTGACGAGAGCTGGAGCTGGGTGAGGAGGGGGGCCGCCGCCGTCCTCCCTCTTTGCCCGGCCCTCCTCCCCCCATTTCAGCTTGCTCCAAGAGCTCAAGGGGAGGTGGAATTCATAGGCCAGGGCGCAGCTGTTATTTATTTAATTATGTTGCCCAACAGAACTTGATTGTAAATAAAAAAAGAAATCTGTTCTATACTTTTCAAACTCTGTGTCTCTTGGTGGTTATTTTATTCTCTTCTGTCCTTAAGAGAAAAAGCTGTTTCTTTTATCTCTTTTCCTGGTGTTTGTTCATTTGTAAATAACAGCTAGTATTCTTCTGGAATCTCTCCTTGTCATTCAGCATTTAAGCCCAAATTGCCACTGCCTGACAACCAGCATTCCGGTTTCACGTCACATGTGAGTCTTAACCCGACAAAAGGTCTCCTGCATCTGGGCATCTGTCCTTCCGAGAGCCCAGCGCGCCGACGAAACTCCCGCCGTCAGCTCGGTGCTGTGGCAGATGTGAGCCTCCAAGTTCCTCACCGGAGACCTTGCCTGTAGGATTGGCGACGAGCTATACCTGTCTCCTGTTGGTCTCTGGCCTCTTCTTTGCTGAAGGGGCATGAGTTACCTCACAGAGGAGTGATTTGTTCGTGGGCACTCTGGTCTCTAGCAAGCAGCCTAGTGCTAGGACGAGTCCTGACGTTCCGGAACCCTCCCTGAGAGACCGCTGTCCGGTCCGCTTACCGCTGCATTTACTGAGGGGCCTGCCAAAGTCCATTTAGCCCAGCAGCTGGGCTTGGTATTCCGTCACGATCTGAAGTCTCAGAGGCAGCCGGCAGCCTCCAAAGAGCTGAGAGAGCCCTTTGTAGCTCTTTGTACTCACTTTCAAGGAGGTGAGTCATTCTCAGAAGAGGCCTCAAGTAAGCATTGCAGTAGCCTCCGGTTATCCTGTTTTCTTTGAACTTGCAGGGAAGCTTGGCTGCTCTCTACTTTGAACAGAGATGCTTCAGTTTGAGGTCCGTCCACACTGTGAAGCTCTCTTCGGGTCCCTTGACTGTCAGGGCTGAGCTGTTCAGTGTGCGGGCACCCACTGCAGTGGAATAGGATTTGCACCCAGTTCACAGTCCTGATGCTCCCGTCTGTCAGATCTGGGGCCCTGCCCCACTGCTGCGGCTTCTGCTGGCAGGGGTGTGGGGTGGGCGCAGTTTTCCCGTTTCCCAGTTGAGTCTGGGTGGTCGGAGCTGGTACGCTCCTGTGGAAGCGGTGTCGGCTTTGACCCGGACATTAACATATCTCAGAAGTTGATTGTTTTGACATTTTTTAGATGAACTTCTGTTCCGTAGGTCGTTTCCCCAAATAGTGTGATAAATCAAGCTCGGTGCCTTAACTCGTAAAGCACATACTGTGTACACGCTAGTCTTTGTCCTAGAAATCTTGCAAAGCCCCTCTGCGTCTTTCACCTTTCACGTCGTGGCTCACAGGTTTTGTATGGATGCCGGCGTGAGTGGGCGAAGCTGCTCTCAGCTGGGAGGGGCCTGCCTGCCCCCAGGGGTGAGCTGCTTGGGAAGTTCCACATTGCTGAGTGTACCAGGGTCTTCACATGCATAGCATGACCGTGCTCTTAGAGAACTGGACGTTTTGAAAGGTGCACTTGAAACTCCTCACCCTTGTGGCCACCGGGAGAGAGAGCAGCCATGATGAAACGCCCCACACACGAAACCACAAACGTTTCTGGATTTCTGCGAGATCTTGGGTGGTCATCAGGAGCCTGTGGCTCTCAGATTCTGTGATCTCCCAACCGCATCCCGTGTCACAAGTCGGGGCGTTTCACAGCTTGGCAAGAAGCTGTTCTAGGGTCCTGACCCCTAGTGGGCGCCATTGCCTGCAACCTGCCTGCTCCTCCAGGCCCGCGGGCTCGGCCCCAGGCTGGCCGAGTTGATGCCTTTACTCCACTACGTCTCTCCTCTTGTGCCCTACTGTAATTCCCACTCGGTAGAAATCCCAAATTTGCAAGCCAATAATAAACTTTGGAAATCTTGAGTTAAGTGAAATGTACCCATTTGTTAGAAAATGGAGAGAAATGGGTGCGATCCAGTAACATTGATCTCTAATCAAAAAAATTATTCTTAACCTGCTTTATCTCGGCAAAATTTGATTTTCGTACCTCAGGAAGCTCTGGCTTTCATAGCACAGCCCTACTGGTTTCTGTCTGTGCCTCCCAACCCCTCCCTGTCTTCCTTCCAGATACTTTTTCCATACTGTTTGTGCTCTAGCTGGGCTGTGCTCCTCGAACACTCCCCGTCTCTCTCAATTCTGCCCAGGGCTATGCGGCCCTCATCTAGCCCTGACTGACTGGCACAGGGCACAGTGAAGACACCCACATCCGGGTGGATCCAGAACCTGATGAGGCTAGAAGAAGTCCCGGTGCCCCTCCCCT